AATTGTGTTTTTACCATACATTTTAAAATATACCAAATGTTATCCAGAGCTAAAGCTAATGTTAAAAGAAAACTGAATCTCAAGATTGCAATAGAAACACACACACTACCAGACTGATGCCCCAGATCAATGTCTGTCATCCCTGTAAGATTATTAAGTCTTGTGAAAATTTCTGCATGAATTGTGCCCTGTGCAATTTAGATGCTCACAATTTCAAGTTCAACTGCCAAACTGTTCGGTTACTTCAATATGATCTTCTTACCCTGCACTCTACAAGGAATGCTTAATATTTCTGTGCTGGATTAGCATTACACATCAGCATTTTGCCCTGACATCTTAGATGCAGCTTTTTATTATTATTGTTTTTGTGCTGCATAATGGAAACTAAGCAGTTTTAACTCTTAGCCTCTTCTGAAAAGCACTTTAGAAACCATTGTAAAATTGGAATGCAAAAAGGTTTGCCCTTCATAATGTACTAACAAGTCCAGAAAACTGCTGTCTAGTGGTATTTAGCTGATCCAACAAATACTTGATGGGTTTCTAAGTTTACAATCCTATTACCATATAAAATACACATCTCAACCTTTTCATAATCATGCAAGCCACATTATATGAAAGTGTCAATTACAAACTATGCAGTTATAAACATGTTAATCATACTCTGCTGGAACAGTTTACTCAGCTCTCTTCTTATTCATATACTCTTTAGGAGTGAGTGTCTGGGGTATCAATTTCTATCAAAAGAACCACCTCTGAATAGGTTAACATCACTGAAAGGTTCTGCTAATGCTCAGGCAGAAAAAAATAAAGCAGTATATTCAAGAACTAATGAAGACCAGTGCTTCATTACAGGCCTTATAGAAGTTGTTCCTTAAAAAAATTACAGGTGAAATACTAGTGAAATTGAGATATATAATGGTATAGTATATTAAGCACTGTGCTTACTTGACAGTACAGTATTCGTAGACTACCTGATTTCCATTTGCAGGTTTACATATATGGATTCTAAAAAAAATGCATGAACCTACATTGCATTTGAATTTCTAGAAGGCCAAAAAAGCTGCAATGACCATCTTCATTAAGCATTTCTCCTCTCCAATTAACTTTACATAGCTAACAAGAACAAAAGCTTTTCTTCCATTATATAAGCTTACATCTTTCTCTTCTTTGGAATTACAGCACAGCAACTGTCATAAGCAACAGGCAGAGATATTGGTTAGATTGTCTCACGAACACCACCACAAATATACAAGGGTGAAACCCAACCTGTCCTCCAGCCAGTGTGAACAAATCCATCAATGTTTCTGCTTTGTTTTCCAAATACTTTGACAATTAGAGGAGAAGGACAAAGGAAGAAAAATTATGATTTCTTATATTGTTTCTACCTAAAGCCAACTCACTATCACAGGTAAGCAACTCATAGGAAAGGCAAAAATGGACATAGAAACAAGCTTATTATCAAGCTTAATTATAGAAAAATCTTGTCCTAAAGGGATGCATTCAATTTTTTTGCCATAAACTAATTCTTTTTTATGAATGCTGTTCCAGAAATGGAATGTATGCCAAAGCATGTCACCCTCAGAACTATGAGTTAAAGGCAAGCCACTGGATGCTCAAATATATGGACAACTGCTTTACAACTTTCCAGGATCATAAGGTTGGCGGTTGTGATGACAACCTACATTTCTTATTTACAAAGTTGAATTACCTAATCATACTCCGCTACATAAGCACTTGCAAAATGCAATGACTAAAGCAATGACACCATCGCAAATAATAAACTTAGGAATAAAGTACACTGAAACAAGTGCTATATAATTAATCTTTAAATACAGTTTTTCAAACTAAGGTAAGCACGACAGGACCTCCAATGACAAACGAAACAGCCAACAGTATTAGCAATCTAAAGTGTTATGTAGTATTTCCATTTCAAAGGTGAGGATACATGATAATGAAGAGGCAACAACCAGACACTGAACCTGCCTAAGTCTCAGAGAAATTAACTTAAATTCTATACAAGAGCACCTACTCCTTCTCACTCCTTTGAATAAGATTTCAGCTGGTATACTATACCCTATTTGTTCATTTTTTCCATGATGAAATTAATTTGTACCTGTAATTAGACATTCCCGTTTTCACATGTGGTAAAATTGCCTCCAGGAAACCAGACAAGCTCTTTAAAGTTAGCCCTGGGCAAAGCCACCATAATTCACACATGGTTAACACAAGGCTACATTATGGAGGTTGTGAACAGGGGTGTTTATCTCCCTTCCAGATGCAAGGTGTGGCCACAATTAGCACAATGCATGCATGGAATTACAGCACATTAATACCAATTTCTTGTCCTAATTCCCATCATATCCTCTGAAAACACTATAAGGCATCATGAGGGTAGTAGTAGAGTAGGAAGAGGAGACAGGAACAAGTGAATGGAGCATGGGCTTAGCAATCAACTTTTGAACTTTTGAACTAGGTGGCTATGTTAACTGTATTCAAAGATTTCATAACAGTAAGGAAGCTACTTCTCAACTCTGATGGCATGGCTATGCCTAGAACAAATCTCTTTATATCATTCAGTTCTCTGCTTGACTAGTGGACATTTTGATAGTCTGTACAACTATAACTGATAACATCTATGCTAGCTAAAATAAGTATAGTCCTTCAACACTCTTTAAAATAATTGTCATAGAGATCATCAGCCATTATGGATTCAAGTTATTTATATTAATGTATGTTTCTGAATGTGGAAATGTCTGTTAGGATTTAAAACTCCAGGTGACTATTTAGCCTGCACTTTCAAAAATCACAACTGCCTTCTAAAAATAAAAACCAAAGAGTGGTATGGATTCATTTTCCTCCATTCTATTAATATTTCATCCAGCTACATTGACTTGCACAATTCGTGCATTTAAATTTATGAGTGTGATTCCATTGCTCAGGTTTTTACACATATAAAACCATCACATGAAGATTTTAAAAACTGGAAAATGCAATACTGAGAATATTACCCTTATTCCTGATATTCTAAATCATCCTTGAGATTGCATACAATCTCCTAGTCATCACTTCAGTTAAAAAGAAACCAACAGGTTGAGTGGGAGCTGGCTGACAAAGTGCCTACACTATTTGCATTTTAAAAGGGTTCTTTTCTTCTCCTGTAAAGTATTCCTGCCAGTCCAACAGGGGGCAAAAGTTTAAACCCTACATACAGACGTATCGGAACACCTCAAGAATAAATGACAAAAAGGAATTTATACTCATAGAAGGTTCCCACACATACTTCCAAGGGGAAGCCTTTACTATGTTCATTATATATTAGGCTCTGAAAAATACCAAAGTTGTTCTATCCCCAACACTTAACACACTAGCATGTAATGGAACATTGCTAGTATTTGACCTTCACTGCCAACTACTCTTTAACTAAAGGGAAAACAAATCTCACTGCCTCATTTTTGCCCACAGATGTTACTGCACAAAGAGAAACCTCTATCACAGAAACAAAATATGCAAATACTAAGAACACACAAAGCAATCCATAATTTTATGCATCTCTTCCTTTGATGAAAATAAAATGATAAATGCTAATAACCAACTGTCAGAGCAAAAGTGTATTTCAGGTAGTTTTCTAATTGCTTCACATTTAGCTTGGAGCACTAAACAAAGGCTCTAAAGCAAGAAGGCAGCTTTCTAAAGCTGTCTGGAGTATAAAACCAAAAACCAGCCTAACCAAAGCCAAGAAACTCATTGTTCTCTCTGATTTCTTTCCTTCAATATGCAGTCAAAAAGAACAAAGCAAAAAAGATAAAAAGCACAAGACACTTTGAAAGGAGAAAGCAAGCATTCTGAAAGCATCTGGTTTGAGGGCTATTGCTGGAGTGGTGTGACTGCTTCTCTTTTCCAGACAGTATGGTAGACCTGGGAGAAATCCAAAGATTTTGTTTCTAAACATTTGTCTCAGGGTGGAAAAACTGGTAAGGCAACATTCCTGACTATGAAAGTCTTGAGTTGTAGGCACCACAGGTGAAATCAGACAGACTGATCATCTTTATTCTGCACCTTTTCAAAACGCCATTGGGGGGAAAATATATACCAAGACTTATTTAAAAAAAAAAAAAAAGCGCTGCCGATATCTCCAGTATATTACGTCTTCCAGTGGGAAAGGTCACCAGGCCACTTTCATTAATATGGAAAATTTATTCCTGTTACGAGACTACAAGACTATAAAGACACTTGATGCTTTCCTTCTTATTCCCTCATAGTAAGAGAAAATCTTGTTTTATTTTGAACTCCTTGAGCGTTCAATCAGAAAAGGGGTCTCCACGATCTTTAAAATGTATTTTAATTATTATCTGCAACAACGCAACCATTGGATTTTTAAAAAATTCCAAAGTGAAGGGGAGCGCATGCCATAAGCATAAATCCTTTCGAGAGAAAAGGGCGCAGAAAATACACATGCTCTATCATGCAACAGTTCCAAAAGAGGTACAACCCAAGTCCCCGAGAAATAATGCCAACTAATAACACAGAAAGACTGCTTCCACCGATAGAAGGGAATACAATCCAGAGCCGGTGCAGCTGGGGAGGAGGAGGGAACACGACCCTCAGTCGGAATCACGAATTCAAAAAGAATAGGGTGAGAATGGCGGCGGCAGGTAAGAGACAGCGGGCCGGGTAACAATCCATCCCCAACCTGCACGGAGAACTCCACATACCGTAGCAGGATCGGGTCCATAAGAATCCCTCCTCTCTCTAGGGAGGGCAAGCTCCTGCTCCTGAAAAGGAGGAACGTTCCTAGGAGGACGAGGGGAGAAAGGCGGCACTCCCTCCTCAGGGGACGGATTGAGGCTGATCCGGCAGAAAGCTGAGAAGGAAGTCCAGGATTTGGTGGGCAACTTAAGGGAGATTTTCTTTTAACGAAGGCGGAGAGCAAACCTTCTCCGCTCCACTCAACAGGCGGCGAATGACCAGCAAGACCGCGAAACACCAAGGAAACTACTCACCACACACGCCCGGAGCGACACCACCCGCATGCTGCCGTGTTGCGACCCGCCAAATAGCCGCTATCACCAGGCTCCGCCACAGTCTCTTTCTCCTTCCGTCTCTCTCGCCCATGCACACGCACACACCGGCAGCTCCCGGAGCCCCTCGGCTCCCTCTCTTCTCATATACATTCACGAACGCTCGCTCCGCGCGCGGAACCACACAGATCGCGCGCGCGCGCGCGCGCCCGAAGAGCCGCCAGCACAGCCAACCCGCCTCAGCAAGACCGCGCCGCGCGCGCCCACCGGCAGCCAACCAACCAGCCAGCCCGCCCGCAGAGCCCAGGAGTGCCTCGCGCCCGCTCGCCCGCCTATCAACCCCTCCTACTCTCGCGCGCTGATCCCCCCCCGCCCCGCCGAACACCTTGTGCTGCTTGCACTGATTTCTCCCCCTCCCGGTTACGCTCTGCGTTCCCCATACAGCCGTCCTCGACCACCCTATAAAACCGCTCCATTTATTTCCCCTGCTTTTGCACGCAACCTTTCTTCAATACCCACCACAGCTAATGCTACTGTTCGGCCAGAGTTAGGTGCCTCAGTACACTTCAGTACGTACGTCTCAGAACCACACACACGCGCGCACACGGCGACAAAATTTCCCTGCTACCCCGCTCACCTCTTTGGATTGTGACTCTAGAATTTCTCCATCGCGCCGCAATCCCACTCACACTTTACTTGGGAGCAACAGCCATTTAAATGAGTGGGGGTAATTTCCGAGTATACCCGTTTAGACTAATACTAGGATTCGGGCTCTGGTGTATGGAGTTGACGCACGCACACCCCGGGATAGACTTGCACAGTCCCTCTCCTCCCGTTTCTCAGGTTCCTCCCTCAAAACCCGCCCTCTCTCAACGACTTCTACGAAATTGCCACCATTAAAACATACAACGGTTCTTCAGAAGCCCCCTATTTCAGCTCAGTGTGTGTCTTCCAGGCACCCCCCCCATTCGCTCTCTCTCCCCCGCCTCTTTCACAGAAACCTTCCTATGACAGCCCCCACCTCGGCTGCATCGCATTCTTCCCCTCCCCCATTTCAGCCCCCTTGTTTTGCTGTATTATTACGTACGATCTCATCTCGCCCGTGAAAATCCCTCCCTGGCCCCTTCTTCCGCCCGTAGCTGTAGGAGAAGGAGGATATTTACACGCAGGGGCAGGTCCCTCACACAATTGCCAAAAGGTTAGAGAGGTAAACTCTCCCCTGTACCCTCGGCAAACGTGCGGTCTTCGCTTTCTTTGCCGTGGGTCACTCCCCTCCTCCTCCACTGAGTCATTCCATTTTCGTCAGAAATAGATGTGAACTGCTCTGGGGGCCCTGGCCAAAGGTTAGCAAGGCTGAAACGAGGAACCAGCTAGACACACCCAGCAGCACCTTTCCCGGAGCGAGGGCTCAGCAACTGCTCCTCCCTCCCCAGACAGGCTAGAGGTGGGGCTGCTTTCTCACTGGTTGTTGCCTGAACTCTCTGGGCTCCGCCTGCAGAACCCTTTCCAGCAGAGACAGGTAACAAAGTAGGTAAAGCAAGCTTCTTTGTTGAGGTTTCAGGAGAGGAGGAGGGGGAGAGCTCACCCTAAAATATTCTCATCATATCGTGTTAGCTTGCTCTCGGTGCACTTTCTTCTCCTCCCTCATTTTGTGCTATACAAATAAATAATTAAAACACCCCTCATTAATCCAAAATTGCACTGTTGTGCATTTTAGGCAAGTCTTAAAAATATAAGCTTCTTTTGACTGTGCTTATACACCTTTATGCTTGTTGGGGCATGCCTAGCCTTGGGGCCAAAAGATATTGGCAGGCATATACTTGGAGAGCCACATCTTAACTGCCTTTGAAATAAAAGAGCTGGAGAAAACAAAAAAGAAGAGGGGGATAGAGGCAGGCAAGAAGCAGCAGAATTCGAGAAGCAGCTGAAAACTAGTAAATACACAAGCTAAACAATTACATGATCCAGTATCAGGAAACCCCTTTATGTAACCACAGCTTCAGTGTCACTAAGTTGGTATCTTACATTAGATCAGTGCAAAAGTTACAGAAGGGAAACACTACTACTAAAAGCAAAGAGTACAGCAACAATGACAGCTATGCCCCACCCCCTGCATCCATGGCAACACTGCCAAATCCCATTGATCACAGGCAACTGCAGACACAAAAATCCTCTTCCCCATCCACACAGCAGGATGTTGAGGAAGCCACCAAAATGACCCACAATAAACTGAACAGGAAAGCTGTCACAGTACCTTCAAATGTGGTATACTCAGTAAAAGTGCAATTACATATACAGGAGTCATTCATTCTCTCATGAGTTCAATGAGAGAGGGGGGGAGAGAGAGTGCACATGTCTGCTCGGAAATTGTCACAAAGCTGTGTGAGGATTCAGGGCTTGGGGCCTGACATATGTCTGTTCTTCCCTGTCACTCTTGTCTCCTGCTGGTGAAGTAAGTGAGCCATATCTGGGGATCGGGGGAGCAGCAGGGCTCCTGCCCAATCACTGCCAGCCAATCTGCAGTACAGGATCATATTCTCATGAGAATAACTCCCAATGAACTCTGAAGAACTTGCTCTTGAATGGACGTTAATAGGGTTGTGAGGTGAGCTACCTTTCTTCATTTTCACCCTGGATTATTTCTCCAATGCAGTTCTCCACTCTGCATATATTGCTGTTTTGTCCATCCCACAAGTTCAACCAGATTTTATTTAGGAATCTTAATTTAGCATTCTTCTTGTTTCCTTAAATGGAGCTGCTAGGCCATGAAGGTCTATGATGTAGCAACCTTGTTAAGTGGTTTGGGGCCTGTTAAGTAGGTAAATGGAAGACTAAACATACATTGCCTTCAACTTCATGACAGTAGACAAATGGCATATAAATGTTATTGTTGTTGAGGATACTGAATAAACAGTCATATGTGTGACCTATTGCAAAACCCACTTCTTTCATCACAAGTTACATTTGGAATGTCTGAGTTGTGCAAATAATATTTTAGTATGTCTATAAATTTTGATGACAATTCATTTTAAACATTTTTTTATTGTTTGTCCAGTATTGTGTGTTAGAACAGTAAATTACTGTTTTTCTCTTCACTGTCTCTACACATTCATGATCTTTGTCTTTCCCCAGCAGTCTTTTATTAAAGGCTGGAGACTTTTGATCCTTCCTGACTCCCCATCTGTAGTATTTATGCCATATCCAATATCTAAGTATTGCTTTCACCATGTGTATTTTCCAATTCTTCTAAAGGGTTACCAGAACAGGACAGATTACTAAAGTTTTGGATAGATCATTTAATTTTAAAGGTATATTCAAATTGTGAGATTTCTATTAGCAATGTAGGATGGAAGCTAGCCCTTTGAATCCCTATATACATAAAATGTGTTATAACTGTGGCAGTGGCAACAAAGAGTTGGGTCCTTATCAACTCTTGTGTGAGCCCCCACCGAGAAACCTAAGATGCCATACAACAAAACTTTAAGTAATTCTTCCTTATATGCAATGTCCAGGTCAAAGGCTGGATGCGGTGAACTAAATAGAGGGAAACAACACAAAAGTATGTTGACATACAGAACACACCACTCACCAAACAATCATCTGTACATGCCCATGAAATATATACCAAGTTCCAGTTTTATCCCCAAAGCACCATATATCAATCCAAATGACATACCCCAGAAACAGTAGAAGTCTACAAAGCACCCATGCTGTTGTCGAGTATACCAAGTTCTGGGTATACCATTTCCAACCCAAGAATGTGCTTTCTGCATGTGAATAGGTAGCCTAGTTACAAACTCCGCTTCTCTAAGCAGACTGTGTACATGCACCTTCCAGCAGATAGTCACAACAATGGCACTTTCTTAAAACTTTCCACTGTTGGGAGATGATAGTAGGATGACAGTGTCAAGGACACTTCAAGTCTACCTCTTTTTCCCAACATTTGGTAAAGGGCAATGTTTGTCTACATAAACAGCTGTTTTCCTCAAAGGGAAATGATTAAGATAGTTAGCCTGGATACATATCCAACTATCCATCTCTTCTCATATTTCAGAATCTGGAATTTCGAAAATGTCTTTTTGCTGCCTATAAAAGCTGTAGCATGTTCCAGAAAAACTGTATGATGCCAAGACTTTCCTGGAACATGCTTACAATTTAGTTTATCATGCTTATCTTTTGTATCACCCTTTCCCAACCTGTTGCCCTCCAGAAGTTTTAGAGTGAAACTCTCGGCATCCTTAGCTATTGGTTTTGCTGAACAGAGCTAACAGTTGCAGTTCAAAATATATGGAAGGCAACATGTTGGGAAAGGCTAAGGTAACCCCCTTACATAAAGATGTAAAATGTGAAAGAAGTGTACATCTCTAAGCAAGTAATATTAGAATGATGTTGTCCATATTTGGACACAATGTTCCTGAGTATTAGGCATCTGGTTCCCAATCACACTTCATACTGTAAACTGTGGCGTGCACTGGTAAAAGAGGGCCATGCCTGCTACATAAAGCAGCTCTAAGATACAGTTTTTGTCTTTCATACTAATTGCGCTTTCTGTTTTCCACTTTTTAACCAACTACTGATCCCCTTCAATCATATTTGTGGAGCCTTTGATTAGAGATCAAAATCACCTTTTATCTACATACAAAGCATATTTGTTCACAACCAGTGGTCATCACAATTTTAACTAGATGTTTATTATTATCCTAAATATTGCAAAGACCATTTGTGAGGCATCATTTCCATTACATCTTGCTAAGACCACACTTTCAGCAGTCTTTAGCTTAGTGAACAACTTGAGCATCTAAGAGCAACTTGTCATATTGTTCTCCTCCTATATGGAAATAATGCCTCTCTAGAAACAAAGGACTTTACAATAACATATAAGATACTATTCATACATTTTCTAGCTTGTATGTCATTGCATGTAGTAGCTTGAACTCTGTATTTGGAATGTACAAAATCTCTTCTCCACTCACAGCACCATTGTAGCAGTGCCATGCACCATCAGAGGACAATGTTATGCTAACACAGCAATACACCAGCATGCCAAAACTTGCTGTTGTCTAAGACGAAGGACAAGATGTTGCTTCAGCCCATT